CCGAACCCAAGCCAAGTTTGTCGGGTATTGTCAAATGCCTCGCTAGCTGACGGCATAGCGAATGTCATACGTTGACCTCACTCTTTACAACGATGCGCAATACGAACGACCTCGCTTGTTCGTACTGTCCTCGGGAATTCCTTTCCCTCGGAGACAAATTATCCTTCAACAATCTTATGCCCGCCCTTATGACTACCTCCAATGTCATAAGGATGCTCGCTTAGTGCCACAATGGTGTAAGCGCCAAGGTTGGTAGAGAGCATGACACCATGTTACCCTTTACATAGTATTTTATGCATTTAGCCTTTTGCTAGGAGGGAACATTACCTATGCACGAGGAGTTATAATTGGGCATAACTCCTTCATACGAACTCCGAATGGCAAACCGTCAGTTGCGTTGTCTGCGTCTCAACATCACGAACGTCCCAGTATTCTTAGCTTCTTCAGGTTCCTCCCGTAACCTTCAGAAATACCCAAAATACCCTTCACAAGTGCAACCCGACCAACACCAACAATTCTAGCTCTTAAGCTCTCGCCCTTCCACACTTGGACTACCTCATAAGCACATAGATGTCCCAAAGGAGTCACGGTAGCACTCGCTCATGTGCGACCCTTGACATTGGGCACACATATTTTCTGAACTAATTGCACAAATTTACATAATCTCGTTGTAAATCTAATGCCATTATGTCAATATTTATTATGGATTGATCCGCATGACTAAGCATTGTCCTGATTTGAATTGTAGCTACCTGTCAAATTGGATTGTTATTTACTCCGTGGTTCATAGTATGCCTTTTTCATTTAACTATAGTAGACCTCTAAGGCATAGACTGATCATAATTTAATTTAGAGAAAAGGTCGCATGGGAGGGAAGTTGGGAGTTAGGACATGATATAACTTTATTTTTCAAAAACTGTCAATGCAACATATTGGGTCCTTCTGACTAACAATTAGTGTTTCAAGGAGCAGACTGAAACTCCGAAATATAGGTTGTATCACGAAAAATTATAGGGTAAAATCACTCTGTGGCTCCATGATACCACAAAGAAAAATTGATACAACCCCAAACTGAGCACCTTGAAACCTCAGGCAAAGAAACTTTCTGAATGGTAAAATTTTCTCTTCATTGAAATGTCTTTTGATTTGTGGCAATTTATTCTAGTGATATCAGAAGCTCATATAGGATCCTTGTTGAGTTGAATTACTTACTACTCAAATACTTGCTGACACTTTGATAGTACTTCCTAGTTTGTACCACCTAAGTTATGTTTTTGGTCATTGGTGGAAATTTTATTTGTATTATTCATTGTATTTACCTATACGCAACAGCTGCTAAATGTATATGCACCCAAGTATGACACTGGCGGAAGATTTTGGCCAACCGTGCACAACTCAACAATTTTTTCCTTGGTACTGATGCACGTTATTGCAATTGGGATATTTGGGCTTAAGAAGCTTTCCTTGGCTTCTAGTTTGACTGTCCCTCTTCCAATTGTCACGCTTCTTTTTAATGAGTACTGCCGTAAACGATTTCTACCAATATTCAAAGACTATCCTGTTGAGGTAAGTTGGCACCAAACCATCTATTTAGTTTTGATTTTGTATTTAGTTAATATTCCAACTTTGATCTATAGCATTCACTGTATATTGTTATGTCAATCTGATAGTGAAACCCAGCGGTTATGATCTTTTGTTGCATCTTATTGGCTAATATTGCTTCTTTTCCGGACACTTTCCCGTCCCTTGTATGTCTTTTCTAAAAGCTAAACAATGCCTCGGCCGACAATTTGGCATGTATGTAAGGGTCTAATTACTGTGTTTTTATATACAGTGTTTGATAAAGAAAGATAGGGAAGACCAAAATGATCCTACAATAGCTGTGTTTTATGATAAATTAAGCACTGCATATAAGGATCCAGCTCTGGTGCCAATACGCCATCCAAGAAGCACTGATGACCATAACTCACCCCTTCTTCAAGCTGGAGTCTGAAGCCCAACAATTTGTCTTCTTACACTAAAAAATTTACCTGTCTGTCAATAATTTGAAATGCTTGTGGGAAGAAAGAAAGCTTGTGCCGCTAATACCTAAGATAAGATTGTGGGACAAAGTTTCGGCCAAAACTTAAGATAAGATTGTGTCTGTGAAGTCATATTCTGTATTCATGTAAAATGTAAAATGTAAAGTATATGATCTTTTAGTTAGGTTTGTTTTGGTCATTCTGACTGCTATGTTGTGGACTATTGATATTATGCTTGAAGAAAGTATAAAATAATACTCTTTTAGTTGGTGGGAACTAACTTTTGGTTGCCAAAGCCCAAACATGGTGGCACTGGTGTTCCATTTGTCAACTTAAAACACTTCTTCTACAGCATTCTTGGAACCATTCCATATCCATTTCAATATGTTGACCCTTTGCTGAAACCCTAATTCAAAACCCATTCTTTATCTTCTTTCCAAGAATGAACCTGGCATTTGTCAACCATACGTATTATTTTCGGGCTCTGTCATTTGAAATTTTGCGTTAAAACTCAGTGACTAAAAAGATATTTAACCCTAATCTTTGGATAAAATATGTCCAAAATTAAATTATCAAGACTTAAGAATAGAAAATAAAACAAAAGCAAAATCCTCCATGAAATAATCCTCTTTTCAATTAAATCATGTTCAGGGTTTTATTTCACTGCAAAGTTATACAAATATCCTCACTTTTTAGCTGATCACTGAAAGAAAAAGCAAAAGAGAAGAAGAGAGTTGGGCTGAAGAGTCACCGGCTGGCAAAGAGGGAGGAGAGAATCTTCTCTCTTTTGTATTTATTTTATTTTATTTTGTCTTGGGAGATAAAACTGGATTGAGTAAGGAATAATGGGCCGGGCAACTTTTATTTTTGCTTTTTCAGATAATGAAGAAGATGACCCAAATTCATATGTGGATCGATAAGCAAAACAAAGAGACCACTTAACCAATAGTTCTTTAGGGTTTGGAATACTAAAATAATTTTTTAATAATTGAAATTATTTTAAATACATCTTAGGAAATTAAAAATAATTTTAAAGTCCACAAAATTATTTAAGATGAGTAAATATAATGAATTATGATTTATTAAGTAATTTATGAAATTAATTAAAATACTTTAAATACCAATTATTCATTAAATAAATATAATTAAATAAGGCTCAGATATTACTTAATTGAAATTATTAAACTAAACAAACTAATTTTGTATAAAAAACATAGTCCAAAAAATAATTTAAAATAATTAATTACTACTTATTAAGTAATTTATGAAGTTAGTAAAAACCATTTTATGCAGTATAGCTCCATGGCTATACTTTTAAAATACTCTAATACATTTAAAGAGTATAGCCGCGTGGTTATACTTTTAATTTTTGAAAAAAAATTAAATTTATTTTTAAATTAAAAAAGATAATGGGTAGTTGTATTCTATAAAAATAGGATTCATTATCTGATTTTTCTTTTAATTTTAAATTTTTTTATATGAAAAAGGTGTGAATTTACCATATTATCATCATTTAATCAATCATTTTAATTCTTAATATTTGGATTAGCTAAGGGCATTTTCTGGTATTTTAAATGTTTCACCATTCTCTGCCTTTTGCTTTATATATATAGATAATATATATAGAGTATAGACACTTAGTAAAATATTTAAATACTAATAATTCACTAAATAAATAATAATCAAAAGATAATTACTAATTAAAATAATTAATAAACGCTATAAGTAAAAATCATTTTGTGTAGTATAGCCTCACGGCTATACTTTAAAAATATTCTAATACATGTAAAAAGTATAGCCGCCCAACTATACTCTTAAATCTATATATATATAAAGCAAAAGACAGAGAATAGTAAAACATTCAAAATACCAAAAAATATCATTGGTTAATGAAAACATTAAGAATTGAAATTATTAATTAAATGAGGATAATATGGTAAATTCACACATTTTCATATTAAAAAAAATTAAAATTAAAAGAAAAATCAGATAATGGATCTTATTTTTAAGGAACACAACTACCTATTATCTTTTTAATTCTAAAATAAATTAAATTTTTTTTTAAAAAAAAGCCTCTAGTAGGCGAGAAAGCGCGTGCGAAGAGGCTAGTATTATTATATTTATAAAGTATCCTAGCTTGTCTAATGAGTAAATAATAGGAGTTCTATATCAGGTATTAGACAATCCAATAACCAAATATAAGTGGTTCGACTCATTAGTTTTGGCTAGAAAGATGATAAAAAAATTGTCAATGGGGTCTAGTCCAGTTGAAAAGATCTTGACTTGCAGTCAATAATGATCTCACATTCAAACTCCTATTAGTGTGTGTATGAGTTAGTGAAATCCACTTCCTTCCTTTGTAGTTTAGACTATCACTTGTATGAAAAAAAGATAATTAAAAGAACTAAAAATTAAGTATGAAATACAAATTTAAACTGACCAACTCAAACCGATCGGATCGGATCTAAACTGATCTTGTTTGGTTCATTGCGGTCTAAAAAAATCCTTATAAAACATGCTCATTTGATTAAATGTAGTTCTTCTAATACAAATGATAGTCTAAATTATCTGATGAGTTTTACTCGCTTGCGCCCAACTGTAAGATTTTAAATGGATCGAAACCAGATATTTGCCCTATAAAAAAAGAAACCGATATTTGTAGGAGTCGATCGAGAGTGACATTTAGGCCAGTCGGCGGTGAGTTGCTTGAGCAAATTAAAGTCCGTCTTGTCTGATCCGCAGTGAAAGGCCACATGGAAGAGACCATGCGGGCCCAGGGTTAGTATCGCCAATTTCAGAAATAAAGTCGGTTAAGTTGACAAAATCCGAAGCAAGCCTCATAAGCTAATGACCAAAAAAAAAAAAGAGCAAGCCTCATAAGCGTAAATTCCCCTTGCTGCCCCTGCCCTGTCCCTCGCGGTCAAACTGACACAGCTGACAGGTTCTCACCCCAGTTGGGTGGATGCTTTCTTTCGTTAAAGTTGGAGACTTGGAGATGTAATGTCATATTTGCTCTTCAAATATATAATTTGCAGTTTGCCCAGTTGAGGTTGAGTGGTTTTATTTGCAGATATGATAGTGTGGGCACTTTTAACATCAGTAGGAATCAATCTTGGGCTTTGTCTCCTCTTCTTCACTCTATATTCTATATTGAAGAAGCAACCCAGTTATCTTGATGTCTATGCACCACGCTTGGTTGCTGCTAAAGAAGAATCAGAGCGGAGAAATGGGTTCAATTTCGAGAGGCTGTTACCAACTGCAGGTTGGGTGAAAAGGGCATGGCAGCCCTCTGAAGATGAGTTTATGTCGGCCACCAGCTTCGATGCTGTGGTCTTCATTCGCATTTTTATCTTCAGGTTACTTAATAAACTAGAACTACAGGGTTATGTTCAGATTGGTTTTGCTTTTTTGAGGGCATATTTGAGTTCTTGTTGTTGTTGTTGTTTGTAATTATGCAGTTTGAGAGTATTTGGCTTTGCTGGGATTGTTGGGATTGTCATTCTTCTTCCAATAAATTATCTGGGGACTCAGCTAGATGCGGATTCTTCGGATTTTGCCAACATGTCTTTGGACTACTTCAGTATTTCAAATGTCACTGATGGCTCAAAATGGTAATTGTCTGGTTCGGAGTGTCATCTGTAGGTGCTGTTGATTGGAACTTGTGGGAAAGATTGTTAACAAAAGAATTAACTTGACATGAAATTGCAGTCTTAAACACTGCCTGGTATTATTCTTTGAGCCATTGTTGCATTTGCTACAATGGGTTGAGTGTCTTGTATAGCCCTGCATCATATTTCCACACGTTGTTCCCCAATGCAGTAATCCTTTTTAGTGGCTTTCAGTTCTATGCAGTATATGTCCTTTATAAGTTAGTGCATCAATCAATGAAACGTTAAAAGCCTAGGATTCCTTCTTTTGCTCACACATTCAAAGCCTTAGAAAGGAGGTGAAGCCGTATGAGCTTAGGTTGAGATTTGGCTATAGGTCTCTGATGTATCTTCTAATTCCTGTGGCAGATTTGTTGTATTTTGTTTTTCATTTCCACTTTATTTTTGTTGGACTCTGGCAGATTATATAAGCTAACTTGGATGGGAAATATTGGTCCTAGATACCGGCAACTGAGTTGGACTTTTCTCTTACTTTTTGTGCTTGCACATTCATAGACTAGGAGGTGAGAGTGAAGTTGTTCAAGCTCATGCCAAGATTTAGACTTAGGTGAGAGTGAATATCCTTCCCACATATTATTCAAACTAACTTCAACATAAACCTTTTATGTGGAGTAATTCTCTTTGTTGTTGCTAGATAATATTCAAGTACATTTGAATTTGTTATATTTATAGTAGGCATAGTAAAATTATTTTGAAGACCACCTGATTATTTGCTTTGGTCTCCCAAGGTTATGGGTTCACTTTTGTGCAGTATACATTGTCAGTGGAGTCGTCTGCTATCTTCTTTATTATGTAAGTCAGATTTTATTTCTTTTTAATGGCTTATTCCATCGTTTTCTGGTTCATTTATAAGAAGGAATCAACACTGATTTCAGCTTGATGACTATAACTGCAGGAGTATAGCTATATCTCATCAAAAAGAATTGCTCACTACTATTCATCCAAACCTCAGCCTCATCAGTTTACAATATTAGTTCGTGGTATTCCTGTCTCATCTGGGAGCAGCTGCAGTGAAACTGCTGAGAAATTTTTTACAGAGTATTATCCTTCTACTTATCTTTCACATTCAGTGGTTCGCCGAACCAACAAACTTCAACATCTCACTGTAAGCACTCTGTGAATAATTGATTCAATCTTTTGCCCCCACTCCCCACATGGGTCAGATTTCTGGTGGGAGTTTATTTTGGAAAATAAGTATGAGACCTCATTTATTTTTCACTTATAATCATGTTATGTGCCTATGTTTGAATGCATTTATATTGGATAGTCCCTACAATGTGTGCAAATAATCATGCAGAAAGTAGTTTGTCCTGTTTATGTGGCCTCAGCACCTCATAATTCATAACTGAAGAACAAATTTTTTACGAATTAATTTGTTTTTGAGCTCTGCAGTCTGCATTGGCTTGCTATTTTACCATCATGCCATACATTTAGTTTTACGAGGGTATTACCTTGGAACCTTTAATTAATTCATTAATTTTCAAGGAATATCAAACTAATCCTCAACAAGTTAGTTTTTTTTTTTTTTTCAGAAGGCCCTGCTTGGTGCTTCTGTAATTGCTCTGTGCACCTCAGAGTCCCTTTCTACTTGCTTCATCCTACCCTTCCTGGTCATCAATCATAGCCTATATTTATTTAGTTGCTTAAACATCACACCTCAGAGTTCCTTCCTGCCTGGCCATCAGGCTTTTTTTTTTGTTTGTTCTGAAAACATCATACCTAAGAGCATCTGTTCAAATTTGTAATGCATAATGTCGAAATATGGTTGGTTTTAGACACTAAATTGTAACAGTTGTACATTTCTTTATCAAATGAGAAATTGGCAATGATTCCTTTTTTTTACTTTGTAGAGTGATGCTAAAAAGCTATACAGAAGGCTTGCGCATCTGAAATCGGAAACTAATCCCCAGCGACGATCCATACGTGATGGCTTTTGTGGGCTTTTTGGACACAAAGTTAATGTTTTAGATCACTATGGAAAGAAATTAGAAACTTTAGAAGATAATGTGAGAATGGAGCAATTGTCAGTGGCAGGAAAGGGATTCATGGGATTTTTTTTTCAAGAGAGTTTGATAATAATTGTTTTCAAATGGTAAGATCTCCTCTGCTTAAGAATTCCTTTAGCATTAATCTGAATGTAAGAGGTGAAACAAAAGTATCCATGAAATGTAATAGAAACCTGCAACACACACTCTTCTTCATATTATTTTTTTGTTATACTGCTTTGTATGTGGTGGCTTTAAGAAATGCATGAACAAACACACCTAGACACATATTTTTGACTTCTAAAAGGCATCAGAGTATTTAGAGAAAAAAATTATAATTCGATTAGATTATTCCAATATTGTTTGATTTATATGAGCATGAAATTTGATAGTCAATTGTTCCACAATGCCCAAAAAAAAAAATTATAGGAAGTTCCAGCTGCCTTTGTGTCATTTAAGTCCCGGCTTGGTGCTGCGATAGCTTTACACATTCAACAAGGAACAAATCCCACGGAATGGGTCACCGAGAGGGCTCCGGAGCCTCAAGACGTTCACTGGCCCTTCTTTTCTTCATCTTTTATAAAAAGATGGATCTCTATGCTGCTGGTGGTGGTTGCATACGCTGCTGTTACAATTCTATTCCTCATTCCAGTTGTAATAGTGCAAGGCCTTACTAATCTTGAACAGTTGGAAACGTATTTTCCTTTTCTGGAAAGCATACTGAGCCTGTAAGTGGAAAATATAGCATTTTCACTAATTAACCCTCTCTTATTTAAGACGTGATGCTGAATCATACAATTTCTTGACTTACAGAACAGTTGTCAGTGAAGTCATAACAGGATATCTTCCAAGTCTTATTCTTCAGATGTTCATGGCTTTTGTGCCACCCATCATGATAATGTTGTCATCCATGGAAGGTTGCATCTCTTTCAGTCAGATAGAAAAAAGTGCATGCACCAAGATGTTGTGCTTTACTATATGGAACATTTTCTTTGCAAATGCACTATCAGGAACAGTTCTCTATCGGTTCGATATCTTTCTTGATCCCAAAGAGATTCCGGGGATCCTTGCTGATGCTGTTCCAGCACAGGTGAAAATACATACGCAATTTTAGCATGTATCCCTCTCTGCAATAATCATACGAAGTTTTAAGAAGCTTTTAGCAAATTCATTACTTCCCATGTACTATGGCTATGCCCTTTCTCGTTTTTCTTAAATCTTAATTAAACTATAAAAAAGCTCCTTGAACTGTTGGAGGGTTCACAGAAAGTTAACATGTGAAATTTTTACTTAACTACTTCCTGGTAATTTTTTCCCGACCTATAACGTTTTCAAATACTTTTTCTCGATCATCATTAAGTTATAATCTTGGTGATAGTAGGAGGATAATTTGTTATCAATAAAAAATTTGTGGTTCTTGTATGATTGTATCTTTGTCTGCCGAACTTGAGATTTGGCTTAAATGTTAAAAGTTGAACTTTTGAAACCATTTATTTACATCAGGAATTGATGATGAAGGATATTATATAGATTCTTTATCTTGGATGCAGGCATCATTCTTCATTGCATATGTTGTGACATCTGGATGGACCAGTCTTCTATCCTCAGTACTCTTCCGTCTGAGTCCCCTGTTTTGCAGTATTATAAAAAGACCATTTTCAGGAAAAGATAGTGATGAATTGAAGGTTCCTTCAATTCCATACCATAGTCACATTCCTAAAGTTCTGTTTTTTGGACTCCTTGGAATAACATACTTCTTCCTAGCTCCACTGATTCTCCCCTTCCTTTTGGTTTACTGTTGTCTGGGATACATAATCTACCGTAACCAGGTTAGTTGAATGCATTCTTTTTATGTAAAATTATAGCATAAAAATGATTAAAATTCTACCTTTCAAGATGAGACAACCTACTTCGAGCATTAGTGCTCTTTAAAGGTGAATAGCATAGTATAATATTACAACCAGTGTAATCAAGTGACAGGTTGGTTACACATATATTGTCTGAACTAATTTCACAAATTTACATAATCTTGTTGTAAATCTAATGGCATTTAAAATGGATTGATCCGCATTACTTGAGCATTGTCCTACTTTGAAGTGTAGCTACTTGTCAAATTGGATTGTTATTTACTCCGTGGTTCATAGTATGCTTTTTCATTTAACTATAATAGACCTTTAAGACACAGACCTATCATAATTTAATTTAGAGAAAAGGTGGACATGGGAGGGAAGTTGGGAATTTTATTTTTTTTTGGGTCAAGGGGAAGTTGGGAGTTAGGACATAATATAACTTTATGTCTCAGAGCCTGTCAATATATTGGGTCCTTCTGACTAACAATTAGTGTTTCAAGGAGCAGACTGAAACTCCAAAATATAGGTTGTATGATGAAAATTTATCGGTGCAAGGGTAAAATCACTCTGTGGCTCCATGATACCACCAAGAAAAATTGGTACAACCCCAAACTCTTCTGGCACCTCCCAAACCTCAGACAAAGAAGCTTTCTGCATGGTCAAATTTTCTCTTCGTTGAAATGTCTTCTGATTTTTGGCAATTTGTTCTAGTGATATCAGAAGCTCATATAGGATCCTTGTTGAGTTGAATTACTAACTTACTACTTGAATACTATGCTGACACGTTGAGAGTACTTAGTAGTTTGTACCATCTAAGCTATCTATTTGGTCATTGGTGGAAATTTCATTTGTATTATTCATTGTATTTAGCTATATTTGGTTAATAAATATTCTGATGCTATTTAGTGAACAATTTGGAACAGCTGCTAATTGTATACGCACCCAAGTATGATACTGGCGGAAGATTTTGGCCAACTGTGCACAACTCAACAATTTTTTCCTTGGTACTGATGCACATTATTGCAATTGGAATATTTGGGCTGAAGAATCTTTCCTTAGCTTCTAGTTTGATTGTCCCTCTTCCAATTCTCACACTTCTTTTTAATGAGTACTGCCGTAAACGATTTCTACCAATATTCGAAGACTATCCTCTTGAGGTATGTTGGCACCAAAACTATCTATTTAGTTTTGATTTTGTATTAGCTAATATTCCGACCTTGATCTATAGGATTCACTCTATCTCGTTATGTCAAAATCTGATAGTGAAAACCTAAGAGGTTATGATCTTTTGTTGTATCTTATTGGATAATGTTTCTTCTTTTACTTCTCTTGTTTATAAGCTAAAGGATGCCTCAGCCGACACTTTGGCTTGTATGTAAGGGTCTAATTACTGTGTTTTATATGCAGTGTTTGATAAAGAAAGATAGACAAGATCAGAATGATCCGACAATAGCTGTGTTTTATAATAAATTAAGCACTGCATATGAGGATCCAGCTCTGATGCCAATTCGACATCCAAGAAGCACTGATGACCATAACTCACCCCTTCTTCAAGCTGGAGTTTGAAGTCAGCAGTTTGTCTTCTTACACTAAAAAAACTTACCTGTCTGTCAATGGAACTCTCTCAATAATTTGTAATGCTTGTGGAAAGAAAGAAAGCTTGTGCTCCTAATACGGGGACAAATTTTCGGCCAAAACTTAAAATAAGATTGTCTGTAAATTCATATTCTGTATTCATGTAAAATGTAGAGTATATGATCTTTGAGTTAGGTTTGTTTTGGTCTCACGGCTGTTGTGGACAATTGATTTTATGCTTGACGAATGTATAAAATAATACTCTTTTAGTGTCACAGGCAACTAACTAAACTAACTTTTGGTTGCCAAAGCCCAAACATGCTGGTACTGGTGTTCCATTTGTCAACTTAAAACACTTCTGCAACATTCTTGGAACCATTTCCATCTCCATTTCAATTTGTTGACCCTTTATTGGAACCCTAATTCAAAACCCGTTCTTTATTTTCTTTTCAAGAATAAACCTGGCATTTGTCAACCATACATATAATTTATGTCACTCTCATTTCCTTCTTTTCTGGGCTCTACCCCTGTGCCACAACCACAAACAGCCTACGCTAGAAAAACTAGAAACCAGAGAATGCTGACAATTGGTTTGTTCTTCAGCCTCCACGTGGAGCAACAACAAAGGGCTTTTGACATTTTCTCAAAAAAACATTAGGATGATCAAACTCAGTTTGCCCCTGACGCAATCTAAGCTTCCCCTTTCCATGCTAACTTAAATACTTTTTTTTTCCCTTTGCAATGAAGATGAACCAGAATCACAAACACACGTCATCACATGCAGACATGGCAGCACCACAAGCTTAAAGTGCAGTCCAATCTATGTTTTCTTTCTTCATAAAAAAAAGAATAGTGACGTGATAATTATTTATTTATTCTTAGCAAAATCATGATATATTTTAAGTCGGTCGTGAATTTTGGGCAGAAGACCAATAAAACAAGTGTGAACTCCAAAGATTCGGCTCTCTCTTGGACTTGTTCGTCTCATCTTTTGTTTTTGGCCGCCGTACGGTCCCGTTAGACTTGCTACCTCATTGATCCTTGTTATCATTTTTGTTTTACCTTTGTGTCTTTTGTCTTAAAATCTTCTTCAATGGTGTGTTCTTCTAGCTAGCTTGTGCTCTTTGAGACGTCATATCAGAGGTTAACCATACAAAGTTACTAACTGTTTAGTACTAACTAACTTATCTTAATCTTGATATTTTCATATAATTACAAATAATCTTGCCAATCTAACTTTCGGAGAGTTCGACATTTCGCATGTTTGATTCCATCAAAAATTTAATGTATAATATTACAATTCTAAAGATTTTTTGGGATGTCATATCAGACGTTACTCAACAAAGTTAATAACTTGATATAACAACTTGTTAATCTTGATATTTCATATTTTTAAGTATAAAATCTCATAATTATCGACCTCATTTATCGAAAAGTCAACCATTCATATGCTTGTTTCTAACAAAAATGTCATTATGTTATATGATACTTTCCTAGTTACAAAGAGAAAATCGAACTCTTGATTTAACCTAATTCTAACTCATTTCCTCACTACTGCTTATATTAACTTCAAGTTCTTATATTACCATCAATCGGATTCTAGTTGAGTAAGTCCATAAACGTCATTTTACAAGCTTGATGAGTGACGTATATACCCATCCAAGATAATGAAATAGAAAAGGTGTTTAGATATGATATAATAAGATGGCATTAGAAAACAAACACCTCTTATTTAGAATGGCCTGGACATGCTTCATTGTGGAGGGGGCTTTGTAAAAATCGCTGTTCTTAACTTCGGTCATAAATGACGAGAGCAAAATGAAAGGGTCATTAGGGGATTTTCATTGCATGGTTATTCACCCAAAGCAGTGTAAATTGACCTTATTTGGCTAATGAAAGTGACATTTTACGCGTTGTTTAACAAGTCACATCACAGGTGAAAAAAACGAATGTTTGCCCCATGATTTTTGTGGCTGTGTTTACTGTGTTTGTCCTTTCAAAACAAAGCTAGTGCTTGCCTTATAACTTCCATGGAATTTTAAGAGAAAATATGGATCCCCTGTTTTTGTTTTGATTGGGGCAGAAGAGAAATTGGAACCATCGCCAAAACTAGTATTTAGAAATCTAGTGTTGGTATTTGATGAAAATGCCATTGTACAAAGTTCAAAGTGTAGCCTTTTAGTCTCAACTGGAAACAACTGATCGAGTTAGAGGACCAAATTAAAACTCGGGTATAAATTCAGGGACCACCCATCATCTTAAATTACCCCCCAAGTTGCCTTGAATATTATTTTTCATTGGAATTCAGTAAATATAATTATATCCTGTACTGGTAGTAATGGAAATGCTGCACCTAAATTAGAGAGAGCTCACTATGTTGTTTAATTAGGCTCCATTTGTTGTTCTCCTTGGGGATCATTTGGTTGCTGATGTACTTGTGTTTTAATGCCATGAAATATTCAATAGAAGGGAACAAGTAGTCCCTTTCTCTACAAAGATGACTTCTATGTTTGTATCTCCTTGGTGCTAGAAGATACGTCAGTGAGTTATAAAATAAACACAAAAAGTTTATAAAATACATGTTTCTGATAAAAGAAATGCAGAAAAAATGATAAAAGAAATGCAGAAAAAAAGAGATACGTATGACTCATTCAAGCTCACAATTCCTTGTTATTAATTGATATGTTGTTTAAATAATGGCATAGAAGAGAGATATAGGCATCTTTGGCTGGGTCAAATGCAATGCAACAATTGCAGGTCCTTTTCCATTTGGTTAGTGTTAGGCCGAGAGGAAAAAGAAACAAAGAAATGAGAACAAACGGTACGACCATTTCAAACCTGCAATCATTTTTTTGAGAGGATCTTCAGTTCCCTACATATATAAATGCACATCCCAACAGAAACAGATCATCAAAGCAACTGAGCCTACAGCTTCAAGTAAATCACTTGCAAGTACAAAACACAACACGCTAGCAAAGAAAAATATACTCGAAAGAAAAGAGCTATAGATATGGCAAGGAAGAGAAAAGTTAGTGATGGAGTGGAAGACAGGAGTTCAAGTGAGGGAACCATGGCTTGGGATGAGATGGTGAAGGAAGCTTCGGCTGCTGCAGAGCTAGGAGGAGCACGAAGAGCTCGAAAACGCTTTGTCGGTGTCCGCCAAAGACCCTCCGGAAGATGGGTGGCTGAGATTAAGGACACCATTCAAAAGATAAGAGTGTGGTTGGGCACATTTGACACTGCTGAGGAAGCAGCCAGGGCCTATGATGAGGCTGCTTGCTTGCTCCGCGGTGCCAATACTCGAACCAATTTCTGGCCTTGCTCACATTCACCATCTTCAACACCAGCACTTCCCTCAAAGATCACAAACCTTCTCCTGCAGAGGCTCAAAGCAAGAAACAACAGCAGCTCTTGTTCTGCTCCTTCAGCTCCTTTGCCTATCAACCACCATCAAATGCAGCAACATGCTGATCATCAGGAAGAAGAAGCAGGAGCAGATTTCTCAGAAACCCAATACACTGATTTCCTTAATGATCCTGAAGATTACATCACAAGCAACAATCATGACATTATTAGTGCAAGTAGCATTGACTACATGACATCAAGCTTTGAATATTGCTTGACTGAGAAGGAAGAGTACTCTACTGCAAGAGAAACTGATCAAATGGACTATGGCAATTTGAGTGAAGTGGCACAGACTTACAGTGGCGGGGATGCAAATTTTGTCGGTGAAGGATCAGAGGAAGATATGGATCAAGAAGAAGAAGAAGTCAATGATCAAGTTGGTGTGATTGATTTCCAGTTTGTGGATGATATTGGAGCATCCAACTACTACTCTCCATCTCCTTTTGAGATTGCTGAGGAGATGGAGGAGCCAGTGGAGCCAGAGACCTATGCAGATGAGCCTTCAATGCTAAGAGCAGCCATGAAGAGAATGAAATATGAAAGAAAGTTCTCTGCTTCTCTCTATGCCTTCAATGGCATACCTGAGTGCTTAAAGTTAAAGATTGGATCTTCATCATCATCAGGAAATGCCAAAGGGAGAGGCATATCTGAGTCCTTAAGCAACCTTCAGAGAGCCTGTAACAAGAACAAAGAGGAAGCTGCTGCTGCTGCTGCTGCAAAACAAGAATATCAGGAGGTGGTGATGGGGAAGAAAGAAGAGGAAGAAACCCAACAGAGTTCAATGGATATTTCTCTGAGTAGTGATGGTGAATTGTCACTCTGGAGCTCACTTGACCTGCAACCCATCTGCTTTTTGTCAACTAATTGATGAAAAAGAGAGCCTTTTTAGTTTTTTACTTATAACAAATTCATCCTCTAATTAGTTCCAGATCATCTGGAATTCACCATTATTCCATTCTTTGCAATATTGCTGATCTCCTAATGTATGTCAAAGAAATAGTGAATTGTAATTTGAGCTTTCGGTTGAAAGAAACCGCTGAAGTAATAATAAATTGAATTGCGTCTCTTCATAATTTTTTGTGTAACGTTTGTGGTTGAACAAGATGTGTTTTTCAATTGTCATAATGCATGATACATTCAGTATTTTATCAGATCAGAAGGAATAAGGCGTCCGAAGAGAAGACATTACTTGGACAGATGAAGAACAATAACAAAATAAAAATACGGCCAGAGGCTAAAGACAAACGAGGTCTTTTTTTTTTTTTTTTTGGTTTGAACCACGAGGCGGTCCTGGATGGGCCCCAACTATGGGTGGTGCATTCAATGCATCGGTGTATTGTAGATTTAGTCCTTGAATTAAAGGATTAAATGATTAAAATTTGGTCGTTAATAAGATAATGCACTGATACATTAGATTGCAAATACATTTATTAGACCAAAGAAATGGAAAAATTGGGGTTTTGTTAGTTGATAAGTTGGTACACAAGCTAAAAGGAAAACACATGTTTTTTTATCTGATGATCTTCTACATTCTTCGTTCTGGTTCCTCTTTCTTGTCAAGTAGTCTGATGAATCACATATCGGTCACAAGGAGGTTGTAGCTCAAGTAAAAGTAATTAAGAGTAATTATCTCTAGACCTGAAGACCCTCCTTCAATATCGTTTATAAAAAACAAAAAACCACAAGCAAAAGATAGTAGCAACGACAAGACCAGGAACGAAAACAAT